AACTTATTCCTTCTTTCTGGAAAGGTGCAATACATATCTTACTCAGTTTATCCTTTCTCATCAATCTCATGTGGAGCTCCTTAAGCCTTTTCAATCTCAAGATAGGTTTTTCTTGCTTATCATTTGTTTAATTATTACTGATCTCTTCCATCAGACTTTTTTTCTTTTTTCTTTGCCTCTGAAACTCATATCATGTGTAAGGTTTAAAATGACGTTGACATTCCTAGATTTATTTACCTTTTTCTTCATGATTTCCATGTTTTAACATTTTTCTCTGTACATCTCACACGTAAGCTTCCAGGCTACTAACATGGTCTTTAATTCATCTACTAAATTCTTTCCTCTGAAAAAAAAATTAGGTGGTGGATTTTTTTTTGTTGTTTTGGTTTTAAGTTTTGGCCCCAGGAAATATCTTCCCCACTTTATACTTTAATTTCCCTGGAAGATATTATTTTTTTAATTCAGGTATTTATCTGGCTTCTTTAGCAGTCCTGAATATGTATTCTGATTGTTGTCTTAATTATCCCTTCTGGCTGAGATGGGCTGTCATTTTTCACTTGGTTTGCTGGGCTTCATGTCTAGATGTTGGGGTATTCCACAGTGAGAATCCCACATGTGTTAGAACACCACACATCTCTTTTATCTTTAGAATGATTTGCTGTGGACACCAGTAAGCTATCTCTTCCCCAATGAGAGGCACCTAGAAGAGGCCTCCAAAGGGAACATACTCTGTCTCCTTCACCCTTGAGAACTGTAGGGAATAAGGAGAGATGGGGATGTGGTATACATGTAAACTGTGTGAGGGCAGTGAGACTTAAATAAAGATTCAAGAGATTTATCAATCTAGAAGCCCCATCCTGCAACTTCAATTTAGCAACCTTCTCAAGATCTCTGTTATCAATTATAGTCATCTGCAAGTAACAGAAACCATTGTCTATCTTAGACTGAAATGACAGGAGAGTAGAGGACCAACCTTAGAAACACATAAGAAGCTGTAGAGCTCGGAGGAGGAAGCACAATTGTCTTTTAGTAGGAAACATTATGACCAGGCCACCGCCCACACTGAAGCAACAATCTGCTGCTATAAATGATTCCTTACTACAGCTAAGATTTTTGTATTCAAAATTCTACATTTACAGAATGAAGTGCATGATTAGACAAACCAAGGCTATCCCCTGACTGCCGAGAAGTAGAAGGAAGGAAGACGTGACGCTACCAGTTTCTGCATTCCTCTCAGTAAGGAGTGCCCACAGTTTAAAAATCTCCAAATCAGAAAAAGAATTGGACACTAGTTACTCAAAAACAAAAAATGGAAAAAAAAAAAAATCACAAATGTCCCAGATCATCTTTTTTTTTTTTTTTTTTTGAGATGGAGTCTTGCTCTGTCGCCCAGGCTGGAGTGCAGTGGCGCGATCTCAGCTCACTGCAAGCTCCAGCTCCTGGGTTCAAGCCATTCTCCCGCCTCAGCCTCCCGAGTAGCTGGGACTACAGGCGCCCGCCACCGCGCCCAGATAATTTTTTGTATTTTTAGTAGAGACAGGGTTTCACTGTGTTAGCCAGCATGGTCTCGATCTCCTGATCTCGTGATCCACCCGCCTCGGCCTCCCCAAAGTGCTGGGATTACAGGCATGAGCCACCGCACCCGGCCGACTCCCAGATCTTGTATCAGACTCCATGAAAGGTATGCTTATAATTTGCTTTTAAAATGAAATTCTCAAGCACTAACAGTCTCAAAACAGTCTCAAAAAACCATACAGGCTGGGCACAGTGGCTCACGCTCAGCTACTTGGGAGGCTAAGGCAGGAGAATCACCTGAACCCAGAAGGCGGAGGTTGCAGTGTGCCGAGATCAAGGCACAGCACTCCAGCCTGGTGACACAGCAAGACTCCGTCTCAAAAAAGAAAAAAAATTCATATAGCATATATTCAGAAAAGCTGTTTATTTTAGTGTTTTTGGAGACTGTATTCGAAGGGCAGAGAGAAGCAAAGATAAATGTGTAAGTTCTAAAGGCAGAAAATGTGTTGATTTCTGAGGTAAATTCAATTCAACATTATAGTATAAAAACTTGCACCATTCCTAAGACCTCAGTCTTAAATAGTTTAATTATATAAGCATTTCAAGGTGATTTTAAAAATAATCTCAGTTTGAATTTTCTTCTTTTTGATGGTAAATAGCATCTATGAAACAAACACATGGGTTCAAGATTTCTAAATGGACATTTTTTTTTTTTTCTGAGACGGAGTCTCGCCCTGTAGCGCAGGCTGGAGTGCAATGGCACCATCTCGGCTCACTGCAAGTTCCACCTCCTGGGTTCACACCATTCTCCTGCTTCAGCCTCCCAAGTAGCTGCAACTACAGGCGCCCACCACCACGCCCGGGTAATTTTTTTACATTTTTAGTAGAGACAGAGTTTCACTGTGTTAGCCAGGATGGTCTTGAGCTCCTGACCTCATGATCCACCCATCTCAGCCTCCCAAAGTGCTGGGATTACAGACATGAGCCACCACCCCCGGCCCTAAATGGACATTTTTAAGAAATGTCAATAGAGGACAAACAGAGGAAATGGGAATTCTACACTACACAGTAGCATAATTCAGGCTGAGATTTTAGCACCAACAATGAGAACAGTAATTAATAATGGCAATTAACATTCACTGAATGTGCACTCTACCTGGTACTCTTCTAAATACTTTATATGTACTAGCTTATCCTCTCAGGAACACTGTGAAGAATAGTATTCCCATTTTACATACAAGACAGAGGTCAAGAAAGTGGTCCGTGGCCTCACAAAGCTGGAAACTGGTGGGGTCAGGGCATAAACCCAGAGCATGTGCTTTACAGCAATCTGCCCTGATGTCTCCCATAAGCTGGTGGTAATGTGGCTTGCCTGGGCTCTAGCTTTTTAAAAATATCAAATGTGTTTGCTATTCTACCCCACATACAGAGATATGATTAATCTTTATAAAAATCAGGTCAGTATTTCATCATCGAGGCAAAAACCTTTTAAAAATCTATTTTGTATACTAATCTCTCAAAAACTATTAGACTCCAGCAAAAGGAAAAAAAAAAAAAAAGGCTTCCAATTTTTTTTTAATCCAGCTGTCCCAAAGTAGAACTCTACCTTACAGAGAAAAACCTCAGAATTCCTTAACCATACTCAAAATCCAGAAAGTAAGATATATAAGCTATTACAGGTTTCAGTGAACCTGAGAATAAACCTCCTAAGAGGTTTCTGAAAGCTAATTAAGTATACCAGGGTTTACAACCAATTTTGACTCCCATAATAACTATGATACATACTTTAATAGCAACTATATCCTCATTTATATTTTGAGTATAGTTTCAAAGGTGCCCTTCCCCTTCCCTCAACTTTTATAAGGTACAAGAACTTAAACAGAAGGAAGACAATATGTGCCAAAGCCTACTGAGAATTGAGGAAGTAGAGTGCTGCAGGGATCCATTCATTAAAAACTCAAGCCCGATATCTAGTCCTTTATTTCAATAGAACCTAGATAAAAAGAGCATTTGCATTATGGACTTTTGAAAGGGGGATTAAGAGGAGGAGGACAGAAATACTAATTTCAATAAGACATTCAAAGGACTGATAAAATGAAAACTTCGGAGGTAGAGGCAGGAAAACAGAAGACTGAAGACTGGAAAGGATAATATTTTAACAAAGTGAGAACAGTATAAAATTCTGACTAATGACTGAGAAAAATCCAGTGGCTGTGACAACAAGGTGAAGCAAGAAGCAGTGACAGCAGAGAAGTTGAAAGTCTAGAAGACTACGTAGGAAATACATTCCAAGTTCAATAATACTTATCATTTACAAAAGCAAGTAACATAAGAGGCTTTGTAGTCAGGGAGAGGATGTTACAAGTTGAAGCTTCTCGAGGTAGTTTTATATAATGACTTGGTCCAGGATGTGGCTATGTTAGTGAGAGACTTAGGAAGAAATGGGAGAGTCAATTGAAACTGGAAGATGTGAAAAAGCGGAAAGGAGAGGATATCCAAAGGTCATGCTAGTGATGCTGAAGTAACAAAGGATAATGACAGAGAATGTGATTTTTTTGAAAATAGTTTTATGTCAGGCATTGCAATAATTTGAGGAATATTGAAAAATATATTAGAAGCTGCAATAGATGGCTATGAGGAGGGAATAATCTTAATCATTATTAAGCACCACCACTATATCTTTTAAAATGGCATATCTATTTTAGTTGCATCATTAAAGAACTGATTATGCTAAAGTGGATGACATCTGGGAAGACAATTATGTAAATCAACCTGCCATAGCTAAACAAACATCCACTATCTCAAGTATCAAGAAATAGATGACACACTCAACAGAAATTATACTTGCCCTCTAGAAGCTTTAGATTTCAAAATAAAAAATTATATACAGCAAAGTAAAATGGGAATATATATATGAGAGAACAAAATGCTGATTGAATACAGCTTCATTTCATCTAGATACCTAAAATGATTGAAAAGTCCAATTTGTTTGAAATTGCTTTTTCTCATGACTGTGGCACATGTTGAAAACATTAAGTTCTGAACTACTGTATTCAAAACACTCAAAACCCCATATAAGGGCGGACTACTGTACTAGATGACTTTCCTTTAATCAACCTCAAGTGTTCAAATGTCATCCAACTCAGTAGAATTTGTACTTTATAATGGCTGTCATTGATGGTAAGATAGAAAATGTCCAGTCTTTAAAAGAGACTATAAATTAACTAAATCTGACAACAGTAATCCATCAAAATTGAGTTTCACTCAGCTGGCATTTGACTGCATTTGGAAAGTTAATGTTGTGAATCTTCCCCTAAGTAACTTTAGATTACCATCTCTCTATTTACCTTTTGATGGAAAACAACTGCTTCTAGAAGAAGCAATAAACCCCTCCTTACCTATTCTGAGGAAACACTTTTTATACTACAAGAAAACATACGAATGAACCTTTATTTAAAATTTAGATATTATCAAATGATACTTACCAATGCACACATCGATTTTCCCTTTAATAGCAGCTTCATGCAGAGGTGTATAGTTCCAGTTATCCCTGGCATTTGGATCAGCTCCTTGGCACAGTAACAGACTCACAACCTCAGCATGGCCAAAAGAACAGGCATTATGAAGCGGGATGAGACCTCCATCATCACGAGCATGGACGTTAGCACCCATCTGTAGTAAGTGTTCTACAACATCCTTCCTTCCAAAACCTAAAAAGAAAGGGAAAAATGTCTTGTATATAGATTTGATTTTGTAAAAAGAACCATTGGAGTATCTGTAACAATATCAACAAGAATGAACAACTGAAGTATTGCACTCTATAGTAAATGCAGTAAAACAAAAGAAACATTAGCTTCATTCAAACTGACTCATTTCACAGAATTTAGAACTAAGGAAGCTCTTCCTTTAGTCTTTGGGCTGTTCATTCAAAAACACGTTTTCTAAACACTTAATATGTGCTGTGCAACAGTGCTAGAAACACAGAATAAATATGACAAGACTTGTCCAGGAACTCACTTTCCCCTCATGCTTCACAAGACAAAACTGTATATAGAAACTCATCTCTACATTCATAGAAACAAAGGTTATTTAAATACTGCTGATACGCCAGGTGCAGTGGCTCACACCCTCACAGCACCATGTGAGGCCGGGGTGGGCAGATCACCTGAGGTCAGGAGTTCAAGACCAGCCTGGCCAACATGGTGAAACCCCATCTCTAATAAAAATACAAAAATTAGCGATGTGTGGTGGCAGGCGCCTGCAATCCCAGTTACTTGGGAGGCTGAGGCACAAGAATCACTTGAACCTGGGAGGCAGAGGTGGCAGTGAGCTGAGATCACACCACTGCACTCCAGCCAGGGCAATAGTACAAGACTGCATCTCAATAAAATAAAATAAAATACCATAAAATAAAATATAAATAAATAAATAAATAAATACTGCCGATAACCGAATCTAAGACAAATCACAACACACAGCACTATATTAGGGAAATTGGGGGTGAATGTATGGGTATGAGAAATACGTGGTGAATGCTTGGTCAAAGGGAATTTTGAAAAGAACTAAAGATGATGCCAAAATATCTATTCTTGGGGCTAGTCGTCAAACAAGATGAAATGGGTGGTGAACTGAAACAATTCAAGCTTGGATGCATTGAGTTTGAGGAAACAATACGGCAAATGAGTGGGAATACAAGCACTTGGAAATATAAAACCAGAATTTTATAAGAAGTATCAGTTTTCAGACAAAAATGGGGGTTTAGGGGAGTCAGAGTCTCAAGCAGTCTAAGGATGAGGTAAACACTTAGAAAGGTAAGAAATATTAAGAAAGTACAACATCATGGAAGTCAAGGAACAACAACATTACGCAAAGTCCAGTATCATGAGGATTTAATGAGATCAATGGAGAAGAAAAAAATGGCCACTGGTAATTTTAAACAGTTTTAGTACAGTGGTAAAATTACAAACTAAATTGCAATGGGTTATAAAAGGAAACTGCAAATATATTAGCATTTTTATCTTCACAAGCTAGAATCTTAATTACTGATTCCCACTTTAAATTGTATTAGGTATCACTACCTCTACTATGACTGTGTAATATTGTTAGAAAAATGGCATCTTAAATAAAAATAAAAGACAGTAAAAGAGTCACATCTTCCTCCATTGTGTGCATACATCAAATAAAAACCACGTGGAAAAGAGTAAGGGGAAAAAAAGAAATTTATCTCAAGAGAAGTCTTCCATGCTATCTATAGAAATTCATTCATTCCAGAAAAGCAGGCTCTGAGAAAAAGTCTCCAAAGTAAAGCATACATTTCCACAGATACGTATCATAAAGTCAGAATGAGGTTTCCATGGAAAATATCCTTCAAATTAAGCTGATAATTTTAGGTGAAAAGGTCAATTTTGTATTAGTAATTAGATCAGTAAAAGCATAGGGTACATGCTCCAGTAAATTGTCAGCATCTCACCAGGGTTCTTGGTTTTGTTTTTTAAATACCTGCAGAACTTTACGGATGTTAGGTTTTAATTCTCTAACTTCAACTTCCTTCCCCCTACCATCACAGCGCTACTCTCCCACTGGGCCATAAGTGCTGTCCTGACCCAGGAAGGTTGAATTATTCTCCTTCTCTATGGATCTGAATAAAGCGTGAGTGCAAACTTCCATTTCCCTAATCAGCACAAGCCCTTGAGAGCAGCCATGGGAGCTGAGTCCTGCAGAGCCACAGGGCTGGAGCCGCCCAAGGCCTTGGGAGCTGACCCCTTGCATTGGTGTGGCCTAGATGTGAGACATGGAGTCAAGGGACATATTTTGGAACTTTAAGATGTAATGACCGCCCTGCTTGGTTTCGGACTTTCACGGAGCCTGCAGGCCCTTTGTTTTGGTTGATTTCTCCCTTTTGGAATGTGAGTATTTAGCCAATGCCTGTACACCCATTGTATCCTGAAACTAACTGGCTTTGATTTTACAGGCAGAAGGGACTTGCTTTGCTTTGAACTGTAGACTTTTGAGTTAATGCTGGAATGAGTTAAGGCTACTGGGGACTGTTAGGAAGGCAATATTGTAATTTGAAATGTGAGAAGGACATGAGATTTGAGAGGGGCCAGGGAGTGAAAAATATGGTTTGGATTTGTGGCCCCACCCAAATCTCATGTCAAATTGTGATCCCCAGTATTAGAAGAGGGGCCTGGTGGGAGGTGACTGGATCATGGAGACAGATTTCCCTCTTGCTGTTCTGGTAACAGTGAGTTCTCACAAGATCTGGTTGTTTAAAAGTGTAGAGCACCTCCTCCTGCTCTCCTCTTCCTCCTTCCCTGGCTATATAAGACATGCCTGCTTCCCCTTCACCTATCACCAAATTTCCTGGGACCTCCCCAGCCATGCTTCCTGCACAAGCCTGCAGAACTGTGAGTCAATTAAACCTCTTTTCTTTATAAATGACCCAGGCTCAGGCAGTTCTTTATAGCAATGCAAGAACGGACTAACACAGCCATTACAAAAACATTTTAAAAACATTTTTGCCATTACTTAAAAAAAAAAGTCGAAATAAATTTCCTTGTACATGTGTCCTATCCATTTAAGATAAATGTCTCAAAGTAGTAGTACTAGATCGAAGGGTATAAATTTAAAATTTCCCATGTTGCCAAATTGCCCTCTATCAATTTTCATTTTCAACCAAAATCCTGTGGCCATTCTGTGCACATTTATAAGCTTTACAAAGAGGTAAAAAAAAAAAAAATGCATTGTTATTTACTTTTTTCAGTTCAGATATTTGCTTTTTTACTGTTGAAAATTAAATATATGAATACAGTTGAACTCTCTCCCTCAATCCTAGTCCCTTCTTTGCTTCCCCAGAGATACTATTACATAAATTCAATGTTTGTTTTATCATGCTTATTATATACTTTTCAATGTGTGTTTTTAAACACTTGTTTATATATTTATATTTGATACATTTCATGTTATTTATATATTATTTCATATTCTATGTGATTAGAATATATTTCATATATTCACATTATTATTGTCAATATCATGTGGTTCAATCTATATTAGTGGAAGGTTGATAACCATAAGCCATCCTTCTGGCTGATATGGTTTGGCTCTGTGTCCCTATCCAAATCTCATTTTGAATTGGAATCCCCATGTATTGCAGGACGGGCCTAGCAGGAGGTGATTGGATCATGGGGGTGGTTTCTAATAGTTTAGCACCATCCCCCTAGTGCTGTCACATGAGTGAATTCTCATGACATCCCGAGGTTTAAAAGTGGGTGGCAACCGGGAGGTGGAGCTTGCAGTGAGCCGAGATCACCCCACTGTACTCCAGCCTAGGCAAGAGAGCGACACTCCCATATCAAAAAAAAAAAAAGGGAGGGGGGTGGCACCTCCCTCTTTCTGCTGTCTCTCTCCTGCCCCACCATGGTATTGCTTCCCCTTTGCTTTCTGCCATTATTGTAAATATCCTGAGGCCTCCTCCCACCCAAGTTTCCTGTACAGCCTACAGAACTACGAGTCAATTAAAACTCTTTTATTCATAAAATTTATATCATAAATTACCCAGTCTCAGGTAGTTCTTTATAACAGTGTGAGAATGAACTAATACACTGGCCAACAGAAAGACTCAATTTTTCTCAGATTCAATTTTGCTTGGGAATTGGGCAGGAAATAATATACTAAGAGAAAGCCAGCCCTTCCCCAGTCCAGGGAAGGAATCCTAATTAAGTCAATCAGGTAATTTCATTCTGCTCTGCCAGTGACTGGCCATGAGGACAGATGGGAAAATCTAGAAGCTTCTGGAAATATTTTTCCTCTTCTACACCTCCTACAGAAGGTGTGGGAGGAAGAGTGCCCTTTCTCCTCCTCTCCCCCTTCCTCCCAACAGTTAGAAAATTCAAAAGAATTATTTTTTTTTTAAGCTGGCATAAAACGCTTACTATGTTCACAGAACTGAAACCAACTCTTGAATTTCCTACCTCTACACTTCTTATCAAGCAGTAAAATAAATGTCCTTAGGCTTTAAGTCAGCTGAAGTTTTAAAATACTCAGTGTTAAACCCATGCGAATTGATATAAGCATCTGTTCCTATGTTTACTAAGTATTCACATTTCACCTCTTGTCAGTTCATTGTCTTGGCCATTTTCCTTTGCGCTATTTGTCTTTTTCTTATGATTCTGCAGGCGTTCTTTACATATTCTAAACATTAATCTTTTCCTACATGGATTGTGCTTTATATATAAAATTTAAGGAAACCTTTCTGATTCCTATACTGTTCCTACATTTCATCTAGATTATAATTCTTTCACATTTAGATATTTAATTAACTTCTAACTATGGTGTGAGTTAAAATTTTTATTTTTCCTTTTCTTTTTGGTTAGTCAGTTTGTCTATTTGTTAGTTTAACTTTAAAATAAGTCTAGATATCTAGTAGGGTAGAGTTGACCCACCTCGTTCCTCTTAAAAACTTATCGGCTGGGCGCGGTGGCTCACGCCTGTAATCCCAGCACTTTGGGAGGCCGAGGCAGGCGGATCACGAGGTCAGGAGATCAAGACCATCCTGGCTAACACGCTGAAACCCCGTCTCTACTAAAAATACAAAAAATTATCCAGGCGTGGTGGCGGACCCCTGTAGTCCCAGCTACTCGGGAGGCTGAGGCAGGAGAATGGCGTGAACCCGGGAGGCGGAGCTTGCAGTGAGCTGAGCACTCCACTG